CAAATGAGAACTGATTTCTTCCTTAGCACTAGTTAGTTGTTGTTTCAAGTCTTTATTTTGTTGTTCTAATCTACCCACATAACTCTGAGCCATTATTTCTGTTATTGTCAGAGTTTTAACTGGTTCATCTTTCCTTAAATCACAAAAGCATTCTATTCTGTTTCTCATAATTCGACCACAATCACTACAATGTGGTAGAGTATCATCATCAAGAGCTTTTTTACACTCTACACAAATATAAGCAATGTCGTTGTAATCATTATTGCTTCCATTGTAAGATATTATTTTGTAAGTAGCAGTCAAACTTTTTTCTCTTTCAAAAGGGCAGAAATTACAATGCCATTTATCTCCTCTCCTTAACTCGTTAGCTTGATATTCTAATTTCATACTATTTATTCCTTTGTAAAATATAGGCATTGAATTTTTCTTTGGTTATTTCTTTTACTTGACTAACTTTGTTTTTTACTTTGTTAGTTAGGAGTTTAAATTTGTTTTCTCTCCTTGGTAAAGTTGGCAGTTCATGAAATTGTTTGTTTGCTAAATAATTCTGCCATGAAACAACATTTTCTAACAGCTCTATTTGTTTCAAAGCTTTTTCTAAGTTATCATCCTTTTCTTTGCTTTGTCTTATTCTCCATTGTTTAGCCACCTCTAAGGTTGTGGGCGAAACCTCTTAATGACTGTCGAAACTCTGTCGAAACTCTAATGAACAATTAATGTGTAACCTGTCGAAACTCTGATGATTGGCGAAAACCCCAAATGCGAAACTCTGCCGAAACTCTAATAAACAATTAATGTGTAACCTGTTGAAACTCTGTTGATTGATTTCTGGAGGAGTTTCTCCCGCAACCTTAGCCACCTCAAGAGCTTCTAAATGACAATCAGATGTTTCCTCCTCTAATTCTAATGCTTCTTCTAACTCTTGTTTGGTTATCTCTAACTCAGCAACACTTTTTTCTAGAATAGCATTCTTTTCTTCAAGTTCTTTATTTTTATCATAAGTAAATCTAAAAGAATCTGAAGTAGCTAATGTTCATTCACTAAATCCTTTAACAATGTTTTCAATAGTGAATTCATTACCAAAAATAACTTTCTCAACTCCATTTTCTTTTTGAATATTTACCCACTCATCTCAAGCTCAAAAATGTTGTTTTAAGGTCATTAAAGTGCCAGCAATTTCTGGTCTTTCACTTTCCATAACATTGTTAACTGCATTTAAAGTTCTTAGTTTAAAGTTTTCTTCTTTATTGGCTAATTGCTTTCTTAATGTTTCAATTTTGTTTAATAGTTTTTGGTTTTTTTCTTGTTGTTCTGTTATTATGTTTACCATGATTTTCTTCTTTTAATATACTTATATCCTTAGGGTATGTTAAGTATATAATTATTTTAGTATTTTTTTTTTACTAAAAGCTAGCAATATTTATTGAAAGATTAAACTTAATGACAGTAATAAACAAATGAAATACTGGAGGTGATTTTATTCTAAATATTTTATTCATTTCCAGTATAGATTGGTCTTGGGCAAGTAA